TTCCCTAGACTTAAGCCAGTGAAAAGACCTATTTATCGCTTGAAATTTCCTCCTGCTCACTAAAAATAGCAAGAGTTTTGAAACAAAGCCAATGGTATTGTTTAAACCAGATACCTTGGACAGTGCAACCTATATATTGGTTATCTCTTCATCAGCCACTAACTTGCATTTAGAAAGCTGAAGTAAAATTTTCAAACTCTGTGCCATGAAAGTTGAAAAAGGTCTGCCAAGGTCATCTCATCTGTCACAGAACCACATTCAAACGCTGACAACAGCTCAATTGTTTCTTCTTTAGAAGAAAAAGTACTTATACCTATAAGTGACAGTAACGACGATACTTTAATTTCCTATCCTAGAGGAACAGAAATATTTTTGAAAATAAAGTGATACCCTGACTGGAGTAGAAAGGAAGTTATAGCTACTTTTCTGTCCTGGGCCTTGAATCAGTAAGCTGCTGCCATTTCATCTGAAAAACTACAAGCACAACAACTGGCCTTTGTCTGAATATATATATGCTAAAGTTTTGCTAAAGTAAAATAACTACTATCGAATGGTAGTGATAGCTTAACCATGGCTAAGGGTTCAAAGAGCAACATGCCTACTTTGGGTTTTCTGATACGATAAGCCAAAGTGTCGTTCCACACTTGCACATAAACAAATGTAATTCTTTGCTGCTGCCAAGAGCTGTGGTCTCGGTCTCTCCTAGCACTCTCCCTTCTGTGCTACAGGCATTGATTGCCAAGTCAGTCAGAGCCAGTTCAGCTCACAGTTTTGCTGAAAACCCACCAGAGAATCTCAAGTTTCAATCGTGAAGTCTAGACTGTTCAAGTAACTTCCATTTTGTTCCAGCCTGGACCAGCAAAAACCTCCTCCTTCTGAATTATTCTTACTTCAAGTATATTGAACAGCCACAATATTCTCCCATCCTGCCTTAGCGAAGGACAAAAACAGGAAAAATTTATTTAAGAACTGTAATCCCAATAAGATATCCACTACTTATCCTTAGAGGAATATGCAGTTCAACCAACAACTGTTGCCATTTCTGTGAGGGAACATCCATACAGAAACCAATTTTCTCATGTTTCTGAGCTAAATATACTTTCATGGAGGATTCAGCAATATGTATGAAAAGCATTTCCAGAACATGTTCATCTACCTTGCACTGCAATAGAATACTGATTTTCTTGCCAAAGAGGATGGGTATAAAGAATATAAAAAGCCTAATAATAAATTCCAACTTGTTGGAAGTTATATTGTACTTGCAACCTCATCACATCAGAAAGAGCATGTAAATGGAAGTGTTCCTATCCCCACCTTGGCTGCTGTTGCATACCATAAGTATTCAACTCTTCACTGTGGTGTTCTAACAATTCACAAAACTATCCAAAAAAAGGAAACAGTTCAATGAATGATCTTTTACCACACTTTGATACTTCTTGCTCAGAATTAAAGTCTCCTATCTGGTAGTCTCTCTAAACTTAGTCCTTAGGATAAATCTTAGAACCACTTTCTTGCGTCCATATACTTATCAGGGATGAAGTATATATACACGAAAAAAATGCCACTACAGACTGGACCAGTCCTCATCACTATCATTAAGCTGAAGTCAATCAACAGGAGAAGCTTTTGCATCTGTGGCATAGTACATCTGAATAGTTGATAGCAGCCTGAAAAAGAATTCTGACAACCTCAGCATAGAGAATACAACACACTGCAATACAGTATCACTTCTGGAAAACAGCACTAATCTTTGGAAATCGTTCTGACATGGTTTATATTTATTTTTTTTACCCAGTTTGGACAGCACTATTTGAGCTGGGTACAGGAGTTCCTGTTCTGTACAGGCCCAAAATACTGAGATAAAAGAATTAAGACTGCCATTGATTCATGTCATAGTCTTAAAAAGGAATGACTGTTACCACTCCATGATACTCCCTTTAAAGGAGTTTCCAGGCATGACTTAAGTCATTCTCATTGATCTAGTTTCCTAATGAAGCAAGTCTTAAGATATTATACTCCTCTGTGCTTGTGTCTCTCTGTCTAACCCTAACTAATGTATTTTGGACTGGCTGGCTAAGTTCAACCACTGCAAAAAGGCCAGAAGTTTCAAAACCAGACACATACCTAATCCTGCATAAATGCATTGCCAAAAGCTCTGTCAAGAACAGACATAAAGGAGTAAGATTTGTACTAGACAGAAGATGGACCTTGAGACATGTGCATACAAACAGGAAAAATACCCATATGAAACTTGGTTCAATCCACAAGCTATTGGGACTACCTTTTTCCTGCCCTAAATAAGATTCTTTTCCTACGGAAAAGCCAAGTAACAAGCCCTTAGTTCCTTTCTTTCAAATCTCCTTATTTCAAGTAAAGTAATTTAAACCTGAACATGAAAGGCAAGTGTATGTAAAGGAGAATGGAATATTTATGACTTCTAACTCATCTCCAGTAGTTCTTCTTAGCTCATCTAAAAACACTTTAAAACAAAAGTAGCGGCTCAGGTAAGAAGCAAGTATTAGTAACAATGGTATTTAATCAGCATTCAGGTTCATCGGATCCATGCATTGCCATATCTCTCAGCTTTCATTAGTGAGTTGAAAAGCTCCTAAGTTATTTCCAGTAAACTTGAAAAAAAAAGCTATTATAACTTTTTATTATTATCAGATTACATCAATAATTTGAACAAGCTTCAGTAGTTGAATCAGGGTTGTTTTACTTTGGGATTTTTCTGTTTGGCTGTTTTTTTACTAGGTGCAGTGGGTAGCTGCTTTCTTGTGCAAAAAAGGGCCTAAGTGATCATGGCTCATTCTGTGCCCTACACTCTCCCATAATTCTCAACCTGTTGACTAGTTTCAGTCAGATGTAAAGGAGTATTAGAGGCCCAGGTGTTAGTTAATACAGATTTTACGCTAACAGGAAGCAACAGAGAGAAGAAAGCCACAGGCCTCAACACAAAGACAGTTGTATCCTAACACCTTACCAATCCCAAGCAGCAATCAGACAGCTACCCAATACACAGGTAAGTCAGGTCCAACCTGCCCATGTCTCAGAGAAACTCTGTGCACACGCTGTCACTTGCCCAGTCAGAAAGGTACTGGACTTTGGAGATCATTTAAATGAGTGCCATTGTATCCACAGCTTCACAGGAGATTTTTGCCTTTACTTATCTAATGTATGTTATGCAGCTTTTCCATTTTATATATAAACAATCTTACCTTATTTGGTATAGGGTGTGTACTTGATCTTCCATCAGATGATTTTGATGTGAGGCACAGGCTATCACTTAGAACTGGAGCCACCTAACAAGTTTCATATAAATGCTGATTAAAAAAAAATTTCAATTCTGTCATAATACTATCCAACAAGAAACAAGACTACCATCCTCACATAGTATGCAAACACAGTTTCCTCACATAGTATGCAAACTGTGACACTGGGATGCTATGTTTGGAAGTCTATGACAACTGCTTCTGAGTTTAAGCTTTTGTTGAGCTACAGATAAACACATCCCTGTTGCAGAGCTTGCTTTCAAGTCACAACCATGATAGAGAATAATCAAACAGTACTGACTGGGTTTCATTCATTTAATTAACAACTTAATTATATATTCAGGTAGTTCAGTACCCTCATATATTTAGAACTAAATGAGTATGTTTTTAGAACAGCTTTAAAGCTTTTAACAAAACCAGTTCTAGGTTTCTCAGGTCATATCAAAATTAGAAGTATGCCAAAGAAAACAAGTACAGCTAAAAGTTATCAAACCACATAACAAATTATAAAATAAGTGATACAGTGTTTTGTGTCATTTATCTGGGATCTCTGTGTTACTAACATTCTGCTACTACATGGTAAAGAGTACTAGGGCGGCATTTTAAGTAACAGAACACTCATAATCTTTAATTCATCAGAAAACAATGCTGAAAGATATCTTGAAGGCATAATATAATAAAGACTCAAAAGAGTATAATACAACAATAGCCAAGTGTTCTCAATTTCAGTTTTTCACCACTGAAATGAATATTAATAAAGAATTATGAAGAAAGAAATTACATGTTAACATTACTCACTTCATTGCCTGTAATCTTTTTCTGCTGACATTTTCTAACAACTTCCAACAAAAGGGGACCACCCGCAGTACCTTCCGCTTCTATAATTCCCAAATCTCGAGCTAAGTTTTCTCGACCATCAAGGCCATTTAGCTGGGGAAAAAAAAATAAATAAATAAAATCACAGCACAGAAATAACTGTCAGAAAACACAAAATATATTTTGTAATATAACCACTAAGGCTTTTTGGTCAACAGCTTTTTGACAAACAGCAATTATTTTAGACTTCTTGTTGCACGTGGACTAGAGCAATGTTGGCCTATTGCATCATTTACTTCGCCCTTACAATGCGAGCAAAGCATTGCTCCCAAGAGCAAGTGACAACATGACAGAAAGTGTGACTTTCTATTTGGTAGCATGAACATGAATCTTTGTACAGGTGTCCTAGTGCAATAAATGCAGCTAAGGGTATTTGGCAAAGGACAAGAGTGCATGGGATTTGCTTCGATAAAGCTCCTAAAATGACATGAATTTTTGGGAAACATAGGTCAATTAAATTAACTGAGTTGGATTTTTAATAAATTAACTAAAATGACATTAAGAATAAAAATGAGTATTTTAGATGTAAAGAGAAATTCTTCAGTTAACTGAAACTGTCTCAAACTCTATTTTATTATTAAATCCTTTATATCATAACAAGATACAATGGGATAAACACAGTGAAAACACCTCTAACACAGTATCAAAAGCCTAAGAGCAGTTAGGTGGGTTACATGATCATTGTAGGTCCTTTCCAGCTGAACTATTCTATTCAGCCACTTTTTATTATGTACCCCTCACACTCACAAGCTCTGGTCCTCACAGGGAACTTCAACCACCCCGATATCTGTTGGAGGGACAACACAGCAGGGTATAAGCAATCCAGGAGGTTCCTGGAATGCACTAATAATAATTTCATTCTCCAAGTAATAGAGAAGCCAACAAGGAGAGGTGCTACACTTGGCCTTGTTCTCACCAACAAGGAGGAGCTGGTGGAGAATATGAAGCTTGAGACCAGCCTTGGCTGCAGTGACCATGAAAGATGGAGTTCAAGATTCTTAGGGCAGCAAGGAGGATGCACAGCCAACTCACTATCTTGGACTTCATGAAAGCGTACTTCGGCCTCTTCAGGGACCTGCTTGGTGAAGTACCATGGGATAAAGCCCTGGAGGGAATAAGGGCTCAAGAAAACCAATTAATATTCTCAGATCACCTACTCCAAGGTCAGAAGCAATGTTTCCCAACAAAGAGGAAGCCAGGCAAAAACGTCAGGAGGCCTGCAAGGAGCTCCTAGACAAACTCAAGCACAAAAATGAACCCCTAGAGAGGGCAGATGTGAGGACAGGTAGCCTGGGAAGAATACAGAGAAATTGTCCAAGCCGCCAGGAACCAGGACAGGAAAGCCAAAGCCCTTGTAGAATTAAATCTGTCCAGAGATAAAGGGCAGCAAGAAAAGCTTCTATAGCTATGTCAGCGATAAAAGCAAGACTAGAGAAAATGTGGGCCCTCTCTAGAAGGAAACAGGAGATCTAGTTACCCAGGATATGGAAAAGGTTGACGTACTTAACTTTTTTGCCTCGGTCGTAACTGGCAAGTGCTCCAGCCACATTGCCCAAGTCACAGAAGGCAAAGGCAGTAACTGGGAGAACAAAAGAACTGCCCACCATAGAAGACCAGGTTTGAGACGATCTAAGGAACCTAAAAGTGCACAAGTCCATGTGACTGGATGAGATGCATTCATGAGTCCTGAGGGAATATGTAGATAAGGTTGCTAAGCCCCTATCCATCATATTTAAGAAGTCTTCTGGTGAAGTGCTTACTAAATGAAAAAGGGGAAAACATAACCCCTGTTTTAAAAAGGTCAAAAAAGGAAGACCCAAAGAACCACAGTCCAGTCTCACTTCTGCACCTGGCAAGATCATAACGCAGATCCTCCTTGAAACTATGCTAATGCATGTAGAAAATAAAGAAAAGATTGGTGACAGTCAGCATGGCTTCACTAAGAACAAATCATGCCTGACAAATATGATGGCCTTCTACAAGTGTTACAGTAAGGGAAAAGCAACTGACATTACCTGCCTGGACTTGTGCAAAGCATTTGGCACTGTCCCACCCAACAGCCTTGTCTCTAAATTGGAGACATGGATTTGACAGATGGACCACTCAGTGGATAAGGAATTGGTTGGACGGTTGCACTCAGAGTTGTGGTCAATGGCTCAACGTCCAGCGGAGACCACTGTGAGGGAGTGCTAAATGAATGTCTCAAACAGCCTGGAACCTAAACAGGCCGCATCCACCTGCCTGGTGCCTGTCATGTTGGTGCACCGGTGACTCAGCACTTTCTTGAGCTCCCTGCCCCAGCCCTGCATTGGTGGAGGTGTGGGGGCAGGCAGGGCTTGGAGCTGTGGCTACAAGAAGCTGGGAGAGGGAGCGGTAATCCCCCCATTCCCCAGATCCTTTTCTGGTAATTTTCCACAAGGGGTAAACAACACAACGTGGTGGGAACTTGACTATAAAAAGTGAGGACCCCGGGCGGTTGCGTGCTTTTGCCCACCACAAGAAGATGGCTGCGTGTGCCGTGGTCATCGTGGGATTCAAGGGTGGTGATCTTTCTTTTCCTATCACTTTCCTTTCTCTCTCTTTCTAGTCTTAACAAAAGGCTACCTATGGCAAGGCCGGTTCTTTTGCTCACTAATGTCTCTTTGTTGTGAGGCATGTTGATTGCACTAAGTGGATGATCGATCAAAACACATCATTGTTAGTTCTTTGTTGATTGATAAATAGAACTGGTGTTGGGATCTTTGGTGTGATCCACCTTAATCCTGCCCTGGGAATTGGCAAACCTGAGTTATCATCTGGCAAGTTACAACCACTGACAAATGGAGCTCCTTAAGGGGTTGGTGCTGGGTGCTACTTAACATCTTTGTCAACAACGTGGACAGTGGGACCAAGTACACCCTCAGCAGGTTTCCTGACAACACCAAGCTGTGTGGTACGGCTGACACACTGAAGGGAAGAGATGCCATCCAAAGGGAACTTGACAGGCTTGAGAGATGGGCCTGTGCAAACCTCAAGAAGTTCAACAAGACCAAATACTAGTTCCTAGACATAGGTCATGGCAATCTCAAACACAAATACAGGCTGGAGGATGAGTGGATCAAAAGGAGCCCTGCAGACAAGGACTTGGGGGTGTTGGTAGATGAAAAATCGAACATGAGGCAGTGTGTACTCAGAGCTTAGAAAACAAATCACTTTCTGGGCTGCCTCAAGAGAAGTGTGGCCAGCAGCTCAAAAGAGGGGTTTCTGCCCATCTACTCTGCTTTCATGAAGCCTCACCACAAGTACTGCATTCAACTCTTGAGGACCCCAGCACAAGATGTGGACCTGTTTGAGTGGGTCAGGAGGAGAGCCACAAAGATGATCAGGTGGCTGGAGCACCTCCCCTGTGAGGACAGGCTGAGAGAGCTGGGGCTGTTCAGCCTGGAGAAGAGGAAGCTCCAGGCAAGGATGCTCCAGGCAAACTTTATAGTGGCCTTCCAGTACTTAGAGGGGTTCTAGAGGAAAGATGGGGAGGGACTCTTTATCGAGGAGTATGGTGATAGGATAAGGGCTTTAAACTGCAAGAGGGTAGATTTAGATTAGATCTAAGAAAGAAGTTCTTCACTGTGAGTGGTGAGACCCTGGAACATGTTGCCTAGGGGTGTTGTACATGCTCCATTCCTGGAAGGGTTCAAGGCCAGGCTGGATGGGGCTTTGAGCAACCTGGTGGGAGGTGTCGCTGCCCATGGCAAGGAGGTCAGAACTTGTTGATCTTCAGGGTCCCTCCCAACTCAAACCATTCTATGATTTTATGATCTGCACAAAGTCCTTTGTTTCACCGAAATTTGTCTCAGAGTGTATTACTGACAATACTCTTAACTTTCATGTAACAATACTAACTTACTATCATGACATAGTAAAATTAATGGCAAAAAATGTTGCAGAAGTATTATGTTGTATATACTGTTACACGATTTCACAAAAAATAGTTTTTTAAAATTCAAAATAAAGATATTATCAAGCATTGATTTTTGATAAAGGAAATACTCATGTTAGCACACTTTCCTAGAACATATGTCTTAATGGCATAAGTGCCTTTTACAGTGTAAATATAAAAAATTATCTATAATAAACACAAGTATCTTCAACAAATCTACTATAGCTTCTATATTCATTGCCACACACTCCAAACAATCAGCATAGCAAACAAATAAAACCAGTATATCTTACTGTGCTTGATTCAGGCTGAAAAACAGCCAATGTAAAGTCAAGATTGAAAAAATGTAGAAATTCTGCCACAAGACCTGCTACCAAGCGACCTGAAAAGGAAATGAGAAGGGTAGAAATACACCAAACAATTCTTATTCCAAAGATTTAACATTGACATGGCTTCAGCATGAACATCTACATTGATTTAGCACTCCTAGAAACATCATTTAGACATTCCAACATTAATAAAATAACTTAGTTACTTTGCATACCAATTCCCAAATTTCTAACTCAGCCATCACATCAAGATTATTTAAGTCAATGATTCTGCAGAAACACAGAGATTGTTTACAAGATTAAAGTGTAAGATTTTATTTTTCTTTAAACAACGTAACTGTGTCAAGTACATCGTTTTGACATTTCTCCCATGTGTGCATTCACTGCTGTACCTCTGCAGCAAGTTTTCATTTGTTACTGTTTTAGTTGGTCTAGAACGGCTGACTTAACATTTCATGATGTATCATGATTATGCTAATTTAAATGCATTAGTCACCTCAGTTAAAAATACAACTTCAGCAATATTAACTTCAAAAATTACAGATGTAATTCTATTGTGAATAAATAGCAATTGCAACATCTGACTGGAACAAAAGCATCCTTTATGTCATAAAGACTACTGTTAATAGAAGATTAAAAGATTTAATCCTTTGTTTCCTATTTTTATTATTTTGAGAAGTATACTGAACAAAGAACTTACCATCTTTTGTACCTAAAAAACTTTTCAAGCTTTCATTTACCAGAGGTGCTTTGTTCTGTCAAAAAATAAAAACCAAATAGTTATTAACATCATCCTCGTAGTAGCAAGAAACTGAAAACCATGGCAAGTTGTGTTTTGGTGGACACTGTTCCACAATGATGTCTAACACATGCAATTCTTCACTACTTCAACGTGCAACACTGCACTACTTCAAAATCTACTTCTGTATTAATTCCACTACCCACAAGCTGCAGAGTCATAAATTTACTCAGACAAATTAAAACTTTCTCAATATTCTCTCCTAAAAATCCACAGAGCTAGAGTAATTTCACCAAAACGCTAAATAGCATACTCATTTTTATTTACTTAATGATTAAAAAGTTAAGCAGTTGACTTCTAAATAGCTCCTCTAAAGTGGTGCCAAGTTTAAAGAAAATCAGTCTCACTTTTTAAAAAATGAGAATTTAAAAATAATCTAGACAAAGTGTAGAATGTGCTAATTAGTGGTTCACAAATCAATATGAACCTTCTATTAAATAAAAGACTTTCAAAGATATCATGAAAATGGTTTTTCTCTCGCTAGATTTGCCCGCTTAACTTTGATTTTTAAACAGAGATAGAACACTGATTTATATCTGGGTTTGCCAAAATTGTTTAGAGATTTTTCAAACTAAATTCTAAACACCATTCCTAATTTATTAAAATAATAAAATAACTCAAAACCGCACACCTGTTATAGGTATTCATCACTACAGTGATAAACACTAACACATACTAAATAGTACTACATGAAAAAAAATCTTTAATATTTAGGAATTCAGAGTAGTGATAAGTATTACTACATTTCTAGCGTCTCTACAGTGTAAAATCAAAATACGGTACTTTTAAGCTTTGTGGAAAAAAAAGAATGAGCTGAGATCAACTGTTGCAAATCTCTCTTCAGTCTTATTACTCTCCAGATTGTCTGGGAAGTTGTTCTCGGGATACTCCCACAAAAGCTGGCACTGCTTTTTTATATCACTCCTCCATTACGTCTTCTTCAGCAATCTTATATTAGACTTCGGGAACATGGAATCTCATATCACAGAATAACTACTTCCCCTTCTTACTGATGTCACAATAATGCCTGTTTCAGCTGGGCAATTTTTCAGACAAAAACCACAACCATCTACCCAGTAGGGCAATAGGACAGTTTTCCATCCCTCTCCTTTGCAATAGAGAGCCTGGACATACCCTCTCTAGCTCTAGAGAATGGAAAGACAAGGCAATGGCAGCAGGAGAAGGTGTCACAAAACCAGTACCTGCACACCACAGCAGTACTGTTACTTCATCATGCTAGTACCACATACCTTTAATATTATTATATTGTCAAAGTATTGGTACATAGTCCATCTCTTAGTTCAGAATTCTTCCTTAAATATAAGCAAATTATGCTGAAGTAAGCCTACAACATCCTTATGAGAAATACCAAAAGTATTAACATACTTAGTAAGTTACTAAATTAAACTTTTATGATACACTTGGCAAAAAAAAAAACCAAACCACCAAAACACTATAATTCTTTAACCTTCAAAAGATGTTATCACAATTTCATAAAATCTTGATCAGTCAACTAGATTTTTTAAGAAGTATTTGATGGAAAAGATATTTAATTATTCTGATCAACTGAAGAAAGCCAATATAAAAGTAGCAGAGACAGTTACTTAAACCTACAGTTTCAAAAGGCTAGGTAACAATCCTCATTTGTGTTCTTTAAGCATCATGCTCTTATGCAGCAATATATAATTTTCTTTTGTTCTATTTCACAAATAAAAAGTATTAAAAATACTCATTTAATTCTACATATAGAATTATATGGAAATTGATTTTTTAAACAGATTATTTTTAAGGTTCTCTTACCTCCACTTTCTCTTGTTCTTCTAATGCCAAAAAAACAGCTGCTCGTAACTCTGCCTGCCAAGTAAAAAAACCAAACAGTATTTCTACAAGCACTGTTTTCCCTATGCAAATAGAATGTAAAGCGCAAGCTACTTGTTTCTCAAGCAACTTGGCACCGATTATAATCTACATAGGCGCAATTAAAATACTTAAGATTACAGGCAATGTGACTTGAGGCTGAGAAAGAAGTTTTCAGGCTGAGAACAACAAGGCAGAGGTGGATGGGATGATACAAGACTTCCTAAATTATTTTTTCATAAAGAAAAAGATTTCAAATTACCTACATTATCTCCTACTAGTTTCTTCTGAGATTTAAAAAAAAAAAAATCTAGCTCTTCCAGGTAGCTTTGAAACCCCTACCTTTCACTTACAATTCTTTCAGGAAACACAAACAAATAGCTTGTGTTAACATATTTTTAAAAGTTAATGTTAAGATAAACAAATTCCTATCATTTCTTGTCAGATCACATTCAAAAGAAACAATTTCTCAAGGAAAAAAAGAACATGACTGCAGTCATTCAAATACTCCCGTAGCAAGATTTTACCTAACTGATTTTGAGTATCTTAATATCAAGAACAAGAATTCTTCTAAGAACTATTTTGAATATTTAAGCTTAAGCATCATCTGGCTTTTAAATTATTTATTTTTTTAACACTACTGTTTCTCTACTTCTTTCATTGATCAAATGGACAACATACATTACATGTGATGACATTATCTGCTACTTTAGTCAACTCTTAATCTGATATTTTGAAGTAGACACCAGATAACACTGCAGTAATAAACTACAAAAGACAGTGCTACCCTGTATGTCAGTTTTCTCAAGAGCAAAGAAAACAAGCTTTGACAGAAAGGTTGATTTCCATAACTAAGAGCAATATAAAGACTGTCTGGATTTTCTCATGTATATTATGAAAGATAACTAAACACAGACTACTCTGTAACTGTTCCCTCCCACAAAAAAACCAAAAAAACAAAATAAAAAAGTAATCCTTTCATGGGAAAAACAAACATTTCCTTTTTAAGCCTCTTTGTACACCTTTTTAAAGAACAAAAGTGATGTAAAAAAGTTCAAAATTTTCCCATCAAAAAATTGCAAAATGCTTACCACAATTCTATGAAATAGTCATACTGACACTGCAGTTACATTTTTCTCAGGTGCTGGGGTACAGCACTCAGTAAGTAAGTCTTCTTACAAGCATTAATTCTAGTATTTTTCTTACAAAATCAGTTTACTTTTAGCTTTCCAGTCGACAGCTACTAATTTGTTAATTTAGTCTTATGTCACTGTATTGGGTTTGCCTGGCCAGATTTT